GGGTTATGACAAGATGAATGTGCTACAGAGGCAAGGGTAGGGAAACTGTAGCTCCCTTGATTGCCAAAAAGCATTCAACACTATCCTGCACATGAAGCTTTTATGAACTAAAAAACAAAGCTGATGTAACTGGAAAATTGCTAGGATGGCTAAGTGTATCTCGAACAAGAAACAGAGTCACCGTCAGGGAAATCCAAGTGCCAAGATGTCATGAGCCAGGTACAATAATTATCAATACAGTACTGTAGTATCTTGAGGTTATCTTGAGATGATTACAGGGCTTAGTGTCCCCGCAGCTCGGTCCTCGACCAGGCCTCCACCCCCAGGAAGCAGCCTGTGACAGCTGACTAACTTCCAGGTACCTATTTACTGCTAGGTAACAGGGGCATCAGGGTGAAAGAAACTCTGCCCATTGTTACTCGCCGGCACCCTGGATCGAACCCGGGACCACAGGATCACATGTCCAGTGTTCTGTCCGCTCAGCCACCGGCTCCCCCCTGGATAGTAGGGTCCATCCAATGTGTAAACGATGACAGGAGACGAATACAGCAGAAAATTTTAGGAATACCTAGACATGTCATAGATAGGTGGAAATAGAGTGTGGCAACTAGACCTGAACTTTCACATATGTAAAGTTACAAGAATACCGTACAAGGGTAAAAAGACCCAAGGACAAATAAAAGATCAAAAGAAGTCAGCTTCCCTTCCCAATTCATAGACTGATCTGGAAATAATATAACCCCCAAATTTGACAGCAGAGGAACATATTAGCAGTATATATATATATATATGCTGCATACACAAAAATTGTTAAGTCTGAATAGCTTTCAGGAACCTTGACAAGGAGGCCATCACAACAATGTATACAACTTATGACCCACCTTTGAGTATGCAACTCTGGCCAGGAATCCCCACCTGAAAAGAGCATAAAATAAAACTAGAAAGTCTAGAGAAATGCGACTAGGGCTTGTTCCAGAACTAATGGGACTACAGCAAATGCTTGACAAGATTCATCTTCTCTTCAATACAGTATGCTGCAAACACATGGAGGTGGTGAAATATGATGTACAAAACATTGAGAGTTGACCAAACACCCATGTTCAAAATGAGAACCAATTGAACTTGGAAACAAGACACAAATGAGCCACAGAGATATAAGTAGACAATCTCAGAACTAGAGCTGCAAATACTGTAAATGGAATGAGGTTGAAGAAAAGATTTTAAGAGGTAAATTCAACAGTTTAAAAAGATGTGAAGAGAAACATTAAGGAAAGTAATTACATTAATTAACTAGTGGCTAGAAAGGATGGTCTATGAGAAATTGCTCAACTCTGCAAGCAAATCTACTCATATCCGAGTACTGTACAACTAAATGAGAACACACACACACGATATAGAGGGCACACTACTCAACTGGATGAGAATTCTTGCCTGGAAGAAAAATGGAAGTGACACAAGCAAAGTTGTCAGCATGTGGGAACGTTACTGTACTAGTGGTGTCATACAAGGATGAGCACGGGTTCCAATTACACATTCACCGTATGCAAGAATGATTTGTCGAGGACATGAACAATTACATGAACATGGTTGCAAATTAAACAAAGATTTTGATGAAAATAAGTACTATTTAGTGGGACCTTGCTTGAATGGACTGTAGTGGACTGGAACCCTTAGTGGGCCAGAGAGAATCTGCTAACGGACAATTTCTTGGCAAGCCGTAATGAAATGTCTGCTTCACCAAACTGTGCTGGTAGAGAGCAACTTAATTAGTAGTGTCACTTCATTTGTATATTAAAAATTGTGCAATTGAATTTATTAATGGTACTTTTTGTTATGGTTCTAACCCTAATATTGCACCTTGTAATTTTACCCTCTGACTGATAGGACCACTTGCATTTAGCGAGTTTTAGTTATTTTCTTTATTTTATTTTGTTTTTTGTTTAAAAGATGTTTATCAGTGGTAGGTAGAAGAGGGAGTATCTTAACATGGAAGAAAAGCCTAGACTGAGAAACGTCAGTAAGTCTGGGGAATGCAAAATGAAAACTGCTCAAGAAATTAAAGAATAAGGAGTTAGATAAGGCTGCTTATAAATGATTTATGAAGCAGCATAGCATAGAAATTTTGTACAGCATTTGTTTTGGGTTGAATACAGTACTGCTAAACTGTATACCAACACTTTCTTATAATCCTTTACCTTTAAGTATATTTAAAATGTATACAGAACAGTACAAGAAAATTTATTCCATTAAATCAAATTTTGTTTACTACTTTTACTGATCTTGTACTTTTCATTTATTCAATTATTCAAAATGAAGTACTGTATTCATATTTTTAAAATGTTTTTAAAACTTGGCCTATAATATTTAATGTACACAACTTTGTTTATAAAATTTTGCGGCATTGAGACCTACTGTGACGGTGTTTTCTCCAAGAAATTACGACATGGCGACCAAACCACATATCAAAAGAGAAATAAATATTTTCTAATATGTTGTTTGGTCATCATATCTTCAGCCATATTACTGTTACTCATCTTCAGCATATGGGATGACCTCATTACTTAAGAATTGTTCTAGCATTTCTTAGAATATATTATTTGGAAGTTGAAGCTTTGTCATCTGATAAAAGTAGTACGGGTACAGAACACAAAGGTAAGAAATTTTCTTACCACGGATAAGTTATTAGAGAAATGTGATCGTGGCTTTGGAGGAAAACAACTCACGGTGGAGCAAGGATTAATAACGTTTCAGATAAAAAAAAAAGAAAGAACGCAGATCAAAGAGTTTGGGAGTAAAGGAAGAACAGTGGTGGGAAGAAAAATGACACCACCATTGATACTTTAAGTCTGAGGATTTAGACAATACTGTTTATCAGTGGCTCATACAATATTGTAGCCTGCGAATGACTGTTGGTGTTGCATAGTGCAGTCTGAATCTCAAAGAATGACACAAACCATGGGTATTAAGGACTTAAGGTTCAATTCAGGATGATGGTTTAACACGCATCACAGTTCTACAACCAGATTTTGCTACCTTATTACTAAGACCAGCCTGTGCTATTAAAGGTGAGTAAAAAGTTTAATGTTTTATATTTTTTGCCTGCATATCTAATATTTATATGCACATAAAATCACCAGTTATATACTGTAGTATTTGTATTACTAAATGTGTGTAGTATCAACATGTACCATTTGCTATAAGAAAAATTGGTGATATAGTACAGTAAATAAACAAAAAATAAAAAAAATATACCTATGCCCCAGAGACATGTTCTACCATTTGAGGCAAGAGAAAAAGCAAGAATTGTGGCAATATAAAGCAAAAATGGCAAAATATTTGCTGGACTAGAATTCTTTATAAAACAGAACAAGCCTGGTCCCAATTAATGTATATGTGCAAAGTGCCATTGTACTGTAATTAGAATGACGACACAATCCTTTCATTGAATTTGAACAAATCAACCGAATGAGGCAAGAAATACATGATAGAATTTAATGGCAATAATTGCCACGCTGAAAATGATGATGAGCAGGAATAAGGCTCATAGGAACTACAGACTGTGCAACACAATTCTACATTTGTTAGACAAAAATAAAGGGCCTAAAGGTAATCATAAGCGACATGTTATCACCAAAAAAAAAAAAAACGTAAATGCTAGAATGATTTCTATGCAAATTCGTCACATTTTAGAAGAGCATTTAAATACTTTAAGAAATGTTTAAGAAATTATTTACAACTTACGTCTGACCTAAACTGGAGTATGCAGCTGTGGTTGGTGCCCACACCTAAAAAAAACATATTAACAAAATATATAAAGTCCAGAGGCATGCAATTAATTGAAGTCCAGAACTAAGATACACGAGTTATGAAGAGAGATTAAGACTTTGTACATGTCCAACTTGGAATAAAAGAAAAATATATACACAGATAATATAAAAGCCAGGACATGGTAGCCAAATACAGGTTTGAAAAAGGATACAAGAAAACTGTTTTGTATCAGAAATAAAGAGAATAAAAGGAAATAGCCGAGTAGAATATAGAAAAGATGCAGAAAGGATTAAGTACTTTTTCTTTAATAAAAAGAGTAGTGGATGATTGGAATGAACTTCCAGATGTATTGGTTTTAGAAACATGACAAGCTTTAAAGCTATTTATGATAAAAATTAATAATGATGGAATACCATAAGCATTGTACTCTACCTGTAACCACAAATACTGCAGATAAATGTAAAAAAAAAAAAATTATATATATATATTATATATTTATATATATATATATATATATATATATATATATATATATATATATATATATATATATATATATATATATATATATATATATATATATATATATATATATATATATATATATATATATATATATAAAATTTCAATCATTTACTCTCACACCTGAAATTTTCTTATCTGGTAATATTATTTCATGTACTTATTTCCATTTCAACTTCTGAGAGCATAAGCAGGCTGGACAATAATATTGTTAGTGCATTAGTGAGCAAAAATTGTGTATAAAACATTTCAACAATTCCAGGATCAGGCTAAGCTTCCTACAGGGTTTTATTTAATATTATATATATTATATACAGTATATATATATATATATATATATATATATATATATATATATATATATATATATATATATATATATATATATATATATATATATATATATATATATATATATATATATTAAAAAATAGGAAAACCCAATGTATTTACTATTTAAAAAGCAGAACCTTTACTACAAAAATTCTTATCTAATTTATGTTTATACATTTTACCTCATGGCTTGTCTAATGTTTGTTTCTTGAGCAGCTGGTGGCTTCAAGCATAAAGATATTTGAGAATTACTGTACCTACAAACATTCTTGGTGAAGGATCTGGTTACTTGTTTCATCTTGTGCATTCAAGGTGGCTTAGGGATAGCTAAAGCTTTCTCAGGCTAGACACAAACATGCAGTCACACTCATACTTACCGTGGAGATGAGTGAGGTTTATCTTTATCTTCCAACGAACCACTGAAATAATGGAGAGGCCTTATTGGCAGGAATAAAAGTCTAGTGCCACACAGAATACGATGGACTATGTGTCAAAATATGAAGGTTGCGTGAACTCCTTTAGTGAAAATAGGAGCAGATTAAAAACAAGGTGTCGGGAAGACATTTTAGATGGGATGGAAGCACTAAGCTAAACAAACACTTGGGGTAGAACTGAGGGCATTTGGCAGAATATATTGGGATACATCACAAATGTTGATACACTCTTAAGGAGAGGATGTGTGTCTGTGAAGAATACAACAGAATTTAAATGCATTATTTAAGTCAAGAACTGAATGAGATAAAGATGTTAAAATGATGATAACTGTTACATAAATGTACAGTAGCTGACATGACTAATGTCAGCTACTGCACTTTTATCAATGAAATGATAAGTATATGAAATGATCAATGAAATGATAAGTACTTATCAATGAAATGATAAGTAGATAGTTATTTAATTACTGTATATGCATTGTATATTAATTATTTGGATATTTGAAAATACATAGTTTATAGAACAGTTCATCCAAAACAGATATTTTCAAGATGAAAATGTAATAGGGAAATAAAGATGAGATGGCTACAAAAAACACTATTCCTCTCTCTCTCTCATATGAAGCAACAAATCTGGAACAAGAGTTAAAGCCTTGTCACTGAAGCCCACCCCCGTCTCCATCCTGTCCCTTCTAAATGCATATGGTTCAAAGTACTACAGCACTGCAGTACTGTGCAACTATTACAAGCAATGAAATGTGAATGAAATATATGTTTTCAGAATAATAATAATAGTTGGCTGATACATTTAGAGTAATATATTTATTGGGAATATTTGACAATATAAAGTACATGGTCGGGTGGAAGCAGTTTGTTACGAAGTAAAAACAAAATAGGATAGTTTGCCCATGACATCTGACGTAGTGCACCACGTCGTAGTAAGTGATGCACTACGTTGCTAGTGTGTGGCAGCGATGATCTTCTACGACGCCGTTACGTGAAGAAGAAAGGGAGAAGAGGGAGGGTGATCACTACTCGACACCTTTAACCAACTGGACCTATAATAACCTTATCTTCTCCCAAGTCCATGAATGTTGAAAATAGGAAAATGATAATGCTGAACTCTTGGAATGCTTTTTAAGGTGAGCCAATTTGAAAGATACCTGTTATGGCAAGAATGCAAGAAAGTTTTAAAAAATTATGGAAATACAAATATCAAAAGTAATTATCAAAAGAAGGCACCAAACCGGGAAGGCTATGTAACAAATATCAAAAGAATATGAGAAGAGAAATATACAAAAAACTAGCACTAGCCAATTAAGAGGAACAGTATCTAAAGCCTTTTGACAGTCTACGAAGATGCAGTATAGTCAACTTTTTTCTTCTCAATATACCCCTGTCTGCCATTTCATAAATATTGGAATTATATATTTTTTTTAGATTTCCAGAAGCTTGCTAGTCTCAAGTGTCTAGTCAAGTTGAAAGATCTTGTTGGTGGGTAACTTAAAAGAATACCAGCAGCCTTCCTCAGTAACAATGGACATGCTTTGTCTGGTCCTACTGCTTTTGTTACATTTACTTCTGCCATTTTTTTTTTTTTTACACTTTCAGTGACTTCCAATCTGTCTAGTTGCTTATTATCAGTATGCCTTCCTCTCTCCCAAGTCTAATCAAATGATCTCACACTTTTTTTTTCTCTCTCTTTATGTGACTATGCAAGTTTGGATTGGATCTTTGCTTTCTTTTTAATGTTTCCAAACTGTTGCTTTGCTGCTCTCCTAAATCTGGTGTACTCTTTCATGCCTCTTTTTAGTGCCTCCTTGTTTTTATCATTTCATAGTTACCCACGCCTTATCCATGATTTGTGGTTTTCCTTGTACTGTCTACTAAACCATGAGTTTAACATTACCCATTTCTTTTCGTCCACTTCCCTCCTGTGAGAGATGAATGATTCCACTGCTTCTGCACATTTCTGTGCTTTGAATTCCATCATTATAATCATTCCCTTCCTTTCCAATTCATTCTCACACTGAACATCCTGTAGACCGGCCCTAAGTCTACTCTTTAACAATGTGCTCAACTGAAATTTTATTGGTTGCACAATGAAAACTGCTCTATGTAAACAATTTCCTATATAAATGTATGTTATACAAGGGTCCTCTTAATGCATTGCAACTACAATTGTGTTAGCAGTTTAGTATGAGCACCGATGAGATACTGTCCCAAAACACGCACATCCAAAATATATACACATTGGATTTTGGCTTCAATGGGACAATTGGTTCCAGACCTATTTCTATATACCCTATCTTTCACTGTATCCAATCTGCACTCTCTCTCATTATAAGTTGCCACAATACATAACTTTTTACTAGTACAAATAAAGTATGCTTTTTTTGTGCATTCTGCACTGCATTTTTAAATAAATAAAATAGCACTGAAGATGTTGTATCTCTTACAAAGTTATCGGCACCATAAATCCAGCTTTGCAATTATCCAGAAGGATGTGCATCTGACATTTACCAATGGAATACATTGAGCCGAGTTTCATTTGAGAAGAGATGCACTCTACAGCATGTTGAATATAGTTACAGAAGTGAAAGAAACTTTCACCAAATGGACATTTTTAACACACACACACACACACACGACCAACAATAATGAAATGCGCACCAATTTATAAAATATTTTTTTTACTACATTCTAAACATATTACCAAGAACAAATTACCCTATAAAAGTATAAATTATAAATAAATAAAAACTATTGTGATAATAAAACTTTGCAATCTAAAATATAGCTTTAGGATATCTACAAATGTACAGTAACTATAAAAATGAATCTTAACTCGCAGCCTGCACGACTTGTAATACAGAACAGGTACTCTGTTTTTCTCTGATCTGCAGCATATAGTGATAAGATTTTAAAGTGTTACTGCTGCTCTCAACAGGCTAAGACGGCTAAGAAGTTAAATTAAGCTACGGTACTGAACACAATAATTTTCTTTGATATAAATATGAAGATAATTATAACTTGCAAAATTTTGTAATTTTTTTCAAACTTTGTCAATATGTAAACCAGTGTCATTTTATTTTTAACGTTATAGTGTCACAACACACACACACACTTTATCTACATCATATTGATCTAGATAAAGTAAGTGCTTGGAACATTAAGTGACAAATGGAATTCAATGTGAATGAATGCCATGTTATAGAATGTGGAATCGGAGAAAATAGACCACACATAACTTACAAATTGTGTGGAAAGGAATTACAGAACTAATAAAAATTGAGACCTAGGGAGGTTTCCTCCCTAGGTCTCTCCCCCCTCCTCCTCCCTTGAGTTATAGGGAGCCGGTCGGCCGAGCAGACAGCACACTGGACTTGTGATCCTGTGGTCCTGGGTTCGATCCCAGGCGCCGGCGAGAAACAATGGGCAGAGTTTCTTTCACCCTATGCCCCTGTTACCTAGCAGTAAAATAGGTACCTGGGTGTTAGTCAGCTGTCACGGGCTGTTTCCTGGGGGTGGAGGCCTGGTCGAGGACCGGGCCGCGGGGACACTAAAAAGCCCCGAAATCATCTGAAGATAGGGGTGGTTTTGGATAGTAAACTGTCATCAGAGGAACAAAGAACATTGTGAGAGCGTACGCACCACTTTCCAACTTAAGACTTGCTGTTAATTATATTGATGGTGAAATACTAAAACTGTTCATGACTTTTATGAGCCCAAAAATTGCCATATACAGTACAACAGTTGTATGGTGCTCAAATCTCAAGAAGCACACAAATAAACTGGAAAAGTTGCAACAGCATCATACAAAATGGCTCCTGAAACTGAAAACAAGAGTTACGAGGAGAGACCAGAGACGTTAAACATACAAATAGAAGAAAAGATAGAAGAAAAAGAGGCGATATGATCACCACTTAGAAAATACTAACAGGAATCAATGAAATTGACAAAGAGGAATTCCTGAAACCAGCAACTTTACGACCAAGAGAACACAGATTCAAGTCACGGAAACAAAGGTGCCAAAAAATATTACCACTAATACTAAATGTCCAACACTGTTTGCAAGTTGGAACATGGTAAGTGAGAAGGTGGTGGAGGCCAAAACTGTGAGTAGTTTCAAAGCGTTATACGACACAGAGTACCTGGAAGAGGGGACACCATAAGTGTAGCTCTCATCCTGTAACTACACTTGGGTAATTACACTCACTCACGGATACACACGAGTGGTAAGGATAAAATCTGCCAAGTATAATTTTCTAAATGCACCCGACTAACACTATTGCAGGCCGAGAGAGAAAATTCTTAGCGATATCAAAATTTGTATATAAACAAGGATTAAAACGCCTTTGGTTGTAATGCAGAGAACAAGGAACATCCACAACACCTGTTTGTGTGTGCAGCCCGTTCTGGCGAGCATTCCCATTGTCAAGAAACAGTCATACTAAAGTGCCTTATCCTAACCTACAAGAGAACCCACAAACAGAAAACAGGACATTATGTCAATTTAGCGAGCAACTACCATTTTCTAATATGACAGTTTTGGCCTTGGGTAAAATATTCGTCAAAATGCGACTTGCAATAAGGAGGATAAATTAATATCTGTCTGGAGTGCAGACACTTCTTCACTGATGTCACATTAAGACCATATGGAACTGACCAATTAAAAACAAACGAGAAGGACAGAACCAAAAAATATTTTCCTAATAGGGATATTAAACAAGTTTGTATGTGGACTGAGCATGATATACCATCACATGTGTAGAGAAGCATACATGCCAGGACACCATTCTTCCCATTCAGGTCAAGAGGCACCAACATCAAGAGGAATATTTTGTGTCAAAAAGTGACTAACAAAGACAGGGATCTAGATGGTTCTCAACGCAAGCTGAAGAGAACGAACTTAATGGCAAAAGTTTGAGAGTTAAGTATGTAGATTTAGGAAGTGATATGATACATTTAGGAAATATCAAACA